GGGAAGCCTGAGAATACTGGAGTGGGTAGTCTATCCCTTCCCCAGGACATCTTTGAGCTATCAGAGAAGTAGATCCATCCATATTGCTGAAAATGGCATTATTTCACTGTTTTATATGGCTGAGTACTATTCCATTGTGTATATGTACAATCTTCTTTATCTGTTCATCTGTTGATGGATACTTAGGTTGCTTCCATGTCTTGGCTGTTATAAATAGTGCCACAAACTGTGGGAACAGATTGAGTTTCATGCCGGCAGTCAGGAATTTCTCACTGGATCACAGAAAGCAGGGTGTGGGAGGGAATTCTGGGAATATGGTACTCATGGCTTTTACCTCCATCTGGCATCCCCTCTGCACCAGCTACCCCCTCCCCCTCCTCACCCCACCACCCACCCCAGTCAAGTAGTTGCTAGGGCCTACTTGTGGCTGTGTGAGGGAGGGCCACATGGTCTTAAGAGCACCCCAGTACAGAAAACTGGTGTGAGGCCTTGTCTCCTGACGACTGGACAAGCTTGAGGTTAGTGAAGCTTGGCATACGGAGATTCCTGCCACCTCCATTCCCAGCCACAGGGGGAGTTCTACATATAAAACACAAAAGTGCTTTAGAACTCAGAGGTTTTCTCACATATTAAAGGTGTTAATGGAGACTCAGTTTTCCTTCAAGAAGAAAGATTTTTCATGATTTGTAACTGAAGTGGGAAAAGGTGTCTCAGGTGGTCAGCTCTCTCAAAAAGCTTTTTCTGCTTGTTTTTTGGCAAACAAACTCTCAGTTGGGAAACATATATTGTTCATTGTTGTAGATAAAATTTCAGACTCTTTGTAACCTAAGCTCACCTCTTAGAGGCTTCCTGTACACTGCGGCCAGGGTACTGTAATATTTGGTCTACACTAACATGGCTTGCTGGGGGCAGTTGTAGTTCGTTCTAACTCTGGGGAGATGTGTTCCACCAAGGCCTCCTTAGACGTGCCTGCATACGGTGGAGTGGGTAGTTTGGTGAGCTTAGGTTTTGGTCCTCATTCTAGCCCTAAGTAGCAATGTGATTTAGGGAACTGCAAATTATTTCTGTTCATTTAAAAAACAGACACAGGTAAGAAAGAGGCTTTTGTACCCTAGACAATTCATTTCCATAGAAACAACTGAGAGAGTTGTTCTTAAACATGAATTCAAATTAAAATAAGGAAAGTCGATAAAGTTATGGTGATATGGTCAATACTGATAAAGTTGATAAAGGCATGTGGTCAAGTTCCCCTGAGGCTAGAAAGAGGGTTTGTGAATATAAATTTTAATGAAATGCAGTGCTACCAAATATTGTTATATTTTTTTCTCTTTCTTGTTTTTCTTTTAAATTTCTGAACTGAGAGGAGATACCATTACACTGATGTTCAACAAAATTATCAAAAGATAAGACAGTTTCTCCTACTTTTTGTTCAGGTGCCAGATGAGTTAGTTATACAGGATATGGTTTTGTGCAGAGCCTTTCTCTAAAACATAGACTTTAATTTCAAGGAAAATGACAAAGCATTAAGCACAAAGCATTTTAAACCTCAAACTTTTCTTTTTAATTTTGCCGTGACGTAAACTTAACTTCAAGAAACTCACCATGGAGCTCCAACAAGGACAAGTGCGCCACAGTATCTTATCGCAAAGGAAGGACAGAGAGACACAGGCTGCGGGCGTTCTAAAATGCACGGTGCTTATGGACATTAGAAACACGGAGCTCATGATCGTACTTTCTTAGATGTTTGAAAATGTGTCATTTATACTGATGAAAGTTATTTTCTACAAAGCTTTATTGGGGTGAAAACTGTATATAGTTTGGTTTTATTAAGAAAAACATTTCTGTCTCACATTTTGCATTGATAATGCACTAACAGAATTCCTTTTCACTTGAATTATTAGAAATGAACTAAAGTGACAAACCGAAAACAAAAGAGTTTATGAAAAGTGATGATGGACGGTCCTTATCAGTCTCACATTAGGGCTATGAGAATTACGTTTCAGAGAGAACTGAGTTGTACTGAAAGCCTCAGTGTCAGGGATAAATGTGAGTGCTTTCCATATACGTATATTTGACTTCATACTCTTAAAACAAAAATGTTAATTGCATGCTGCCAAATCTAGAGGCTTTTATGAACATTTGGAAATCTGAACTACAAATTAAATAATTAACCATTGATCTAAGAATAAAATTGTAAGTTAGAAAATAAAATGAAACTATTATGTTTACAGAATTAGGAAAGGCTTTCCTTTTGGCTATGTGAAGACAGTTTTGGGATCCTTGATGATACATGTACAGATTTTCACATAATAAATCTTAAGCTATCTGAGATAAAGTGTATATATATTAAAATATATACATTTGAAAGTACCAGTTAAGACTAACACAGTTAGTCTGAATATAGGGATCCAGCATTTTGTTCCTCCTTGAACAACATCTTCCTATTTGGGAAAAAGTATTCTGGATTTTGGATTTGCAGCATTTTGGTTTTTCAATACATATGCCCACCAGAGATTTTTAGAGTTTTTCAAATGTTTCATTGTTTCTCAATATGTTTCACCTCATTAGATCTTCCTGAGACTTTCTCCTGGGCATATGTGTCAACACCAGTTCATTATCCATCCCAGGGTACACATGGTTTCTTGTATTCCAGGAACCTTCAAGCTGGGCACAATATACCAAGGGCAAAGCTTTGTAACAGGTGACACTGAGGAAATACCTGAAACCAAGATTCAGTTAAGTGGAGGACTACCTTGGCCTCAGGTTGGATGCTATGAATTTGCTCACTAAGAAGGTGTCCTGGAGAAAGCAACAGCTTTCAACAGAAAAAAAGAAAAACTTTAAATGAATTTCTACAACTTTCAACCACTACCTGTTTAAAAACCACGTTTTCTACAAGCTTGTGTTCATAACTTATGTATCTGATATACATTTTAGATGAGACAGCAATCAACAGATTAAACATATATTTGACCTGAGGTATCAACCCATGCATCTTTCATGGATTATCAATTTTCAAAAATGTGGAAGGCACTGAATTGCACTCAATACTGCCTGTGTGGTAAGTCACTTCAGTAGTGTCCAACTCTGCAGCCCCATGGACTGCAGACTGCCAGGCCCTTCTGTCCATAGGATTCTCCAGGCAAGAATACTAGAGTGGGTTGTCATGCCCTTCTCCAGGGGATCTTCCCAACCCAGGGATTGAACCTGTGTTTCTCCTGTCTCCTGCATTAGCAGGCCCGTTTTTTACCACTAGCACCATCTAGGAAGCCCTATGCCAAAGAGACTATACCAGCACTTTAGAACTTTGCAATCATCTCAGGTCATCACTGTGGACATCATTCATAGTTCAACAAAACTGTGGAAATGCTCAAGTCACTTTAATGGAATTCTGAAGAAAAGAGTCTACTACTATTACCCAGGATAGACTTGAGCTAGATTACAAACAAATAAAACTAATAACATTTGACATTAGAGAAGAAAAATCCAGTCAAACTGAAGGTTTTTTTGTTTGTTTGTTTTTAACGTCATAATTTGGGGGTTAGGATTTTTTTTGAGAGAAATAACTTTGGTCTAGAAATAATACAGCTAATTTCTTTTCCATTAAATCAATGAGTGATGAGTAATCTACCCATAAACAGTAAAGACCACCAAAATGGCTACTTCTCCCATGCACTTGGAGTGAAATAAGAAAATTTTATGCAGGCTTTAACATGAAAATATATTTCCCTGTACTAGTCCTTGAGGTCTTAGTATTTTGTTTTCTAAGAAGTTAACCCACCTTCCTATTCTCCCCAGATAATTACAATAAAATGTATGGAAAGCATGGCCAGGATGAAATTCAACAGAAAAAGACATCTACCACTTATTGTGGTAGGATATGCATATTTTTTAAAAGGTTAGTAACCAATAATAATTTCCTTCATAAAGGTGAAAATGCCAGATTTCAAGAGGACAATTATGATAACTCATTCAGGTCTTTCATAAAGATTTTTCTATTTGTTTCTAGTTTGTGGAAAACCCACCCTTTGGGGATTAAACCTTTGAGAAAAATTGAAGTGTACAATATAATGCTAAAACAATGTAGCATTTACTCTTTGAAAGTCTCTACATCAAAAAGAAAAATGACATTTGGGATAATAATAATAATAAAAGTAGAGAACAAAATGAATATAAAGAACTCCAAAGCCGAAACCACTTGTACTTCTTCAGAAACTCAGTTGTGTCCTATGTTGTTCAGGTCTGAATTAAAAGAACCCATGAACATAATCATGTGCATTTGTTTTTGTGAAAAGGGAAAAAAGTTTCATTTACCTAAGGTATTAAGTATTAAGGTATTAAGTATTTCTCTCTTCCATTCTCCCATTTTAATTATTAATAAACCTCTATGATGTATCAATAAATCACAGCTTATAAGCCCTTCATGGGCACATGTGTCTTGCACATCTAGCATACCACCAAACAGGCCTCCAGCATGTGCATGTTCTTTAACACCTTCCCTTCAGCTACTTAGACACAAGGAAGCTGTAGAGGGAGGGGAAGCATCAGTGATCTCGCTTCTCAGTCTTAATAATTTGAAACTATGACTCATTAGAGAGTGAAGACTGATATTCCGCTTATCAGTACACAGTTGAGTTTACCTATGAATTACTGAGAGATTAAGAATAGCAGCCAAAGAAATGAAGAGCCACCTGGCAGAGTCAAACACACTGTGACCAGAAGAGAGAGATTATTCTGAGAGTTATCTAATTCTTTGACTTCTTTCATGTTTAGGCAGTCTTTCAAATTTGCAGAAATGAAAAACAGCAGAAGTCTTCTGGAGAAGGACCAAAACTTTGATTTTTCAAATGTGATGGCCAAAAGTGCCGGCATTTTTATTTGGCCTCATGTCTACATTATTAGTTAGAACTTTAAAAATGCCAGGTTTCCTAATATTTCTTTCAAGAATCAGGGATTCCTTCTCCTCTCCAAGTGTCTCCTGGTGGTTAAAGTCCAGGTTTCTAGGGATTTTGACTAGTCCTGCTATACAAGGTAATGTCATCATCGAATCCCGGGACTGAATAGTCTGTGTTCTCTAGTAAGACATATTTGTCTTCACTGCCATTCGCAGAGAGGACTTCTTTCCGAGTAGTGGATGTCAGGTCACTCCAGGTAATGTCAATGTTTTTAAAAGCATGTAGAAGGAAGATGCCACTGATGATGGTGAAGAACCCACTCAAAGTCCCGATGACATCTCCAGCATTCATGCCGTACCATTCTTGAAATAAGATGGCGGAGCAAGTCACTACCATGGATGTGAACAACACGTAATAAATGGGAGTCACAAGAGATGTATTAAAGGTGTCCAGTGCCTTGTTGAGATAGTTGATCTGTGTCGTCACCGAAAGCACAAGTACAGCCAACAAAATGAAGACCAGGGGATGCTCATAAACGGGTCTCCATTGCAGTAGTTCCTTAACGGCAATGCCCAGGCCCTTGACAGAGGAAACTGAGAAGGCTCCAATCAATGAACAGATTGACACGTAGACCAAGATGTTGGTCTGTCCTTTCTTGGGTGCCACAACCAAAATCAGTACCAAGGAGATCACAGTTATGATCACAGCAAAGCAGATAAACCCTGTTAGAAGGAGAAAAGAGTTAGGCTTCGGAAAATGCCAACAGGGTCAGGTCTTTGTGAAATCTTGTTCGTCATGAGTTTAGGAGCGTGAACCATGATTGAATTAAAAACAGGAACAGCAACAACATGTTACTGCATGGCTTTTGATATCTCACAATGGACTTTAACAGACAAATGTGAACCTCACAGATAACACTGTAAGGTAAAGCAGGTATTGCCTGATTGACTTTATTTTCAGAATGAGGAAGATGTCAAAGTTTGGGTTGGAATATAAGTCTTTCCCCTCTCCAATTCCCATCTCTTCCCTTCATTCTGTGGAAGCAAAGCACGGGCACAAAAATAAGTTGTGGCAGCTTTTCAGAAGGCCAGTACTACTCAGTCAAACCTTACTATATCTCAACCCACAGACAGGCTTGCAGGAAGCATATTACAATATTAATACACAGTCAAGTGATGAGGAGAGAAAGTGGAGCAGAATTTGAGTGTCTCTTTCGGTTGAATTACAGACCTGGGTCTCTCAATTTCATTTCCATTTCATGCAGAGTAGCAACTTTCTCTTCTTGTGGGGCATGGATAACCACCACTGTTGATCCCAATATACTTAATATGCAGCCTATTTTCCCATGAATGTTCAATTGCTCATTTAAAAAGTAGGAAGACAATATTGCACTGTGGGAAGAATAAAAAAAAAAATCACTCTTATTCAATTGCCTTTGGATTCCACAGCAGCTCAGCTGTCATGCTGTGGTGTGCACCAGTCTGTATCTCTGTCAACTGACTGGAATATGCCATGTGACACTGAAAACCCCAGTTAGCTTGCTTGCTTTATTTATGTGTGTGTGAAGTTTGTTACATATTACCAAATTTGTATTTAGAAAAATTTCTACCATTTGTCAAACTTTAACATTTTAAAAATCATTGGCAGTTTGCTATTTTAAAATAATTTCATGGGAGTATAGTTGATTTACAATGTTCTGTTAGTTTCAGGAATACAGCAAAGTGAATCAGTTATACATATGCATATACCCACTCTTCTTCAGATTCTCTCCCATATAGGCCATCACAGAGTATTGAGTAGAGTTCCCTGTTCTATACAGGGGCTTCTTATTAGTTGTCTATTTTATATATAGTAGTGTGTATATGTCAGTTCCAGTCTTCCAATTTATTCCTTCCTCCCCCTTCACCTTCTGGTAACTGTAAGTTTATTTTATACATCTGTACTCTGACTAACTAAAACTCAGGAAAGATGATTAATCAAATCTGCTTAATTGCTTTTATATCTAAAACATTATAATAGGCATTCTGTACACCTGAAAATTTCCCATAACCTTCTAAGAGGTCCCACACAATTTGTTTTCAATTTCCCCATCTTCTCTTGTAACGTCAAAGTAGAAGACATTTTTACATCTTACTGGCATGATACATTTAGAACATGCATGCTCATGAAGGCTTCAAAGAAAGATATAAGCCTAAAGAAGAATTAACTCTGCTCTTCCGGGCTAGTGTTTAGCTGGTACACACAAGTACAACCAAATGGGTTGTCAGAATACTAAAATATTTCCTTACCAGCTGCTATTTCCCTGATACTTTCACCTATCCAATGCTCCCACTACTTTGGTTGCTATGGCCTCAGGAAGTTCTAGATTGGCACTACGATGGACACAGATTATGCCATCCTGCTCTTCAACCACTAGGTCGGCTGTGGTCTCTTCTCCTTATGCCCTGGCACTCCCACCAATGGGTAGGCCTAGTCATAAACCTTCTTCTAGAGGTTGATAATGGAGATAAAAGGAAAAGACAACAAACACAACAGTTGCTTAGTTACAAAATAAAACAGTTCATGGGCTCATGGAACACATTCATTTGGTATCATAATGGTCAACTCAGATATATTAGATCCACTTTCTATTGACAGGAAAATGACTCCTGCTTGCAGGACTAAAAGAAACTAAGATGTCTCCAGACAGAAGTATTCAGCAGCAATGCAAGAGTTTTAGTAAGAGCTGAAATTTAACCCAAACATCATGCTTTTTAAAATCCTCTGATAACTATGGGCATTAACCACTATGACAACAGAAAGCATTACGAGGGCTGTGGCAATTTGTTCAGGTGAGAGGGGAAAAACTGCTTGGCTTCACTGAATCATCACAAAGAAAACACACAATTACCTCAAGTTTGGCAGGAAGACACTCCGTTTCTTATTTCTACTGCTATTAATTGTGAAATCTTCTTAAATTATTTTTGTGATTTTCAAAATTTTGCTTTGAGATATGCTTAGTCATCTATTTCTTGTGGGTTATGTGAATCATGGTATTAAAATCTCTACAGAAGCCAAGTTCCTTACTGCTCACGTACCTTACAAGAACACTCAGCGCGCCCAGTGAGGTGACCAGAGTGGCAGGAGCAAAAGCATAAGCTGCAAAATTCACAACCTCTCCTGCTCCCACTGGAAAGCAAGCAGCAGTGTTAATATTAAGGATAGGCACATGTACTCAACAACTGACACATGCAAAACAGTAGTCTTTTATCCTGAAGACACTCATCTAATGAAAAGGAATGATTTAACTTCTTTTAGGGAAGGTGGGGAAAGTTTGGTATTAAAAGGTTGCAGATAAACCATAATTACCTGATGATGCTAACTCACTAATGCAAAAAGTGGTGACAGGGAAATATCTATTTTAAAAGACCTTCAATAAAGATTTTAGTTACTTTAGTACCAGAAACATAGTTGGTCACTCTGATGAAATCTGGTAGAGGTAGGATTTGAAGTGAGCAGAGAATTATTGTTTGCTCAAGAATACCTACTGTTGGGCAAATTAACAATAAAGCAACCTGTAAAATTAGAATGCTTTCTAGAGGTGTACAGTCCAGGCAGGGGATAGGCAGAGATACCCACAGGCCTGTGTAGTCAGGCACCCCTGGTTGCAGGGGATCTACAAGCAAGTAACAGTATCTTAGTAGCTCAAGTCCTAACAATGTGCTCCTGGAAGCCTTTTTTTATCTGAGCAACTCCAGACTTCCATGAGATAGGGGGATGCAATTGACTTTGAGAGCAACGGAAAATCCCTCTAAGAGTTGGGTTCTTGTATTGAGGGCAGATTATTCTCCTGCTGGGTCACAATTGAATGCTTGCCCACAGAATGTAGTATTTCACACCGCAACTATGCCAAGCATATACTTCTTGTTGAGAGAGCTTCTGGAACAGATAAAAGACACCAGTACACTTTTTCCCTCTGGCTGCTATCCACTCCACTCCCAGTCCCTACCCCATCCCCAGCCAGATCTGCAAGAGTAATCAGCTTTGAAACATCATAAAACAAATAGAATCATACAGAATGGAACAATTAGGAGACTGTGCATAACAGCAACAATGGTAGTTTTCTTGGAATCGTAAGCAATGAAATAAAATTCATATTTTATGGCAAGACAAGAAAAACGTAAACATAATTTTTTTTTCCCATTTGGGCCTCCCCTCTCCCCTTTAGTGTGTCTGTGCGTTAACCAGACCTCCTCAGCAGATATCCCTCCTCTTTAATCTTGAAGGGCCCACTACGTTCTTTGTAAATGCATCTCTGGATGGTGTAAAGTGTTCATTATACATCATTTAACGTACAGCCTCCTGTCTAGAAAAACTTATACAACTATGCTTTGATCTCTAATGGGCAGAATAGTTTGCTGAGAGGCTGTTCTCAGGTTATAATTCTCAATTTGGCTTGAATAAAATTTTCCATTTCTTTTTTAGATTGACTAGTTAATTTTTCATCAACATAAGCTTTTTTGAATACCTCATTATTTATATTTTTATCATGATAGCTTTCCAGGAAAATACTGACTTCATGAAGTACTGTATGTTTGTCTCTAGGTAAAAATCTCTAATGTTGAAGACAATGCTTTTCTCTCTTCAATACTTGTAGAAACCATGTGCATGGTGAGAATACAATTACAAATGTAGCCATATAATATTCTTCTTCTACTTTCTATTGCATAGGTAGAAGGTAGGAAGATATGAGAAAGAGAGTAAAGGAAACAGAATCATCCAAGTATTTATTTGGAATCTTCCCAGTATAGTCCCTGACAACAGTTATTCAAATGAAGTAAGAAAACAAATGTGAAAACACCCTAAAAATTGAAAAAAAAAAAAGCTATATAAATTTAAATTATTTTTGTTCACCATCTTGTAAGCAGATAGGGTATGGGTTTCCAGAGGGAAAGAACCAGATACAGCTTTTTGACATAAAAGAAGCCATTTTAGGCCTAAGCTATCGTGTGCTCTAAGCCTGGCCACAGTGCTTGCCTATGAACAGGCCTCAGTAATTAATGATCTTAAAGGAACCAAAGGACAAACTGTTATCAGGCAAGAAAAGTAACAAAAGCAAAGATGATAAATTGGTTGTAAAGACTCCCAATTCTGGTTCAGTGGAAAGGTTAGTACTCAAGAAAGTACTTTCTTGAGCTATTTTGCAGAATTTAAAACCCCTCCACCACTAGATCCACTTGAACCTAAGGGATGATGTTGAATTTGCCCAACCCTCATGACTTCTATCAATAAGACAGAAGCTTTAGCTTGGATTTTACCAACCTTCATCCCATTTTTATGTTGAATTCTCCTCTGCTCAAGCCCTCTATGAATATGCACACACTTTGAACTTGAAACTTTCCCAATTTGCTGTTTGGGGAGATAGTGCTTTGGGAAAGAGCCCCAGAATTCTCCTTACCTACTCCAAGTAATAAATTCTTCCTTCTTATCTTTGGTTTGGTTGTCTTTTGACACCCGCCAAGAGGTGAAACCCAGTTTTGCGGTAACAAGCCTTTTAGATACCACCATTTGTTTAAGAAAAAGTTATCCAATTCTTTCTTTTAAGAGGATCTCAAAAATACTGAAATGTTTTACTTGGTACAGGAAAATGGATGGAAGTTTAAAGGCTTCTGACTGTAGAGGGAGATGGCTGGCAAGTGTGTGAAACTAAAATTTATGAGGTCCTTTCTCTGGAAGTTTAAGGCGTGGAATTTGAGAAAGTTCAGAGGAGTTAGGAGGGAGATATAAATCTGCAACAGCGCCTGAGAGAGAACACTGCCTTCTCTCTGGACATCACATGAATAAAAATGCTTTTACCTCATACAGAGCCTCGTTTAATCCTCCAGCAAGTCTAGGAGGGGGGAGAATGCTGACAATTCTCACCTCCTCTCTGTCTGTTCAGAACTAAGCAGCCCAAGGGGACTTTCCTTTATCCTTTATCCTTTATCCTATTCCTTTACCCTTGGTCCTTGCTAGGAAAGTTACCCGCTCTTTGCATCTAGAACAGTCACATATAGAATTAGGAGCCAGGGAAATGTAGGAGGGAAGCATTTTCATCAATTATTATGGGGAATAAAATACAAGAGAAAGAGAAGTTTGTGATAAAACACAAGATTTCAAATGGTAAGTTTTCCCAGGCATTCCAACACAGCATTGAGAACACAGAGGTGGGAGGAAGCCAGAGTAAAAATTAATTCTAAATTCACAGGACTTACTTTATATATAAGACATTATGCCCACACAAAAACTTCCAGACTTAATTACCAGCCTTACCAGTTGGATAAATTGGTCAATTTGAACAACTGCATGTAATTTATTCATCATTTTACAAGCAAACACTATTCTTGGCATTATGGACTCACTTGAGAGTAATCCTGCCCACCAGAGCCATTCCTTGAGGTAAGAATGTCCACCTTGTCCTAGGAAAATGATGAAAAAGAAATTAAGTTCTAAAGTGGAAGAAGAGGGTTTGGGGAATTAACTTCTATAAAAGGTACGGAATATGGTTGGAAAAAGCAACACTTAAGGCCTACTCAGTATATCTCATCTTTTAGCTTACTTACTCAGTCATTTCTAGAGATCTCCTAAAGTTTTCTTTATGTTGCCTTTGATTTCTACAGAAAGTAAGTTTTCTTCATTTGCAGGAAAATTAGTCATGAGGTTTATTATTGTCAACTCAAAAAAAATGCAAACCTAAAAACTGAGAATTATGGTGTTTTTGTTTTTTTTTTTAGAATTATGTTTTATTCAGTTGATTTGCTAAGGACTTAAGTCTGGGAGGCAGCCTCTCAGATAGTTCTGAGGGCCTGCTCTGAATAGGAAAGGGAGGAGCCAGGATATATAGGAGTTTTGCAAAAAAAAAAAAAAAAAAAAAAAAAGATAGTTGGAACATCAAAAGATTACTGTTAAGTTAAAAAAAATGAATTTAGCACTTTTATTTGTATGGGAAGATGCAGGAGTCTGGCTCACTGGAATCATTCCTTTGGTATGCACCTTAACTACTTAGGGCCAGTATCCAGTGTTCTCCATCCTGAATCCCCTCAGGGTGCACTGTCTGTTGGTGGGGGCAGTCGCTAATGCCTTGATGTCAGCAGTATCCTTTGTTTACTGATATGGAAGGTGACATTCTTTGTCTAAACTATTTATGCCATTCAGAGGTGTAGATGGAGAGTATTATAAGCCCTAAATGCTTTATTTTGGCCAGAGTTAAAGACAGAACCCAATAAATATTAAATTAGATTGGTACATAATGAAGACATTAAAGGAAAGAAGATGGTTGAGACAAGAGCTTTTGAAATTTTGGATAGTCAATGAGAGAACAACCAGTGTTAGCCAGCTGGACTCTACTTATTCTCTACCTTTTGGCACCATGAAACTGAATTTGTGTCAGTTGTTGTTCAATCGCTCAGTCGTGTCTGATTCTTTGCGACCCCATGGACTGAAGCACGCCAGGCTTCCCTGTCCTTCACCAACTCCCGGAGCTTGCACAACAAACTCATATCCATCGAGTCAGTGATGCCATCCAGCCATCTCATCCTCTGTCGTCCCCTTCTCCTCCTGCCTTCAATCTTTCCCAGCATCAGGGTCTTTTCAAATGAGTCAGGTCTTTGCATCAGGTGGCCAAAGTACTGGAATTTCAGCTTCAGCATCAGTCCTTCCAATGAACACCAAGGACTGATCTCCTTTAGGATGGACTGGTTGGATCTCTTTGCAGTCCAAGGGACTCTCAAGAGTTTTCACAACACCACAGCTCAAAAGCATCAATTCTTCAGTGTTCAGCCTTCTTTATGGTCCAACTCTCAAATCCATACATGACTACTGGAAGAACCATGGCTTTAACTATATGGACCTTGTCAGCAAAGTAATGTCTCTGCTTTTTAATATGCTGTCTAGGTTTGTCACAGCTTTTCTTCCAAGGAGCAAGCATCTTTTAATTTTATGGCTGCAGTCACCATCTGCAGTGATTTTGGAGAAAATCAAGAAAATAAAGTCTGTCACTGTTTCCATTGTTTCTCCATCTATTTGCCATGAAGTAATGGGACCGGATGCCATGATCTTAGTTTTCTGAATGCTGAATTTCAAGCCAGCTTTTTCAATCTCCTCTTTCACTTTCATCAAGAGGCTCTTTAGTTCCTCTTCGCTTTCTGCCATAAAGGTGGTGTCATCTGCATATCTGAGGTTATTGATACTTCCTGGCTATCTTGATTCCAGCTTGTGCTTCATCCAGCCCAGCATTTCCCATGATGTACTCTGCATATAAGTTAAATTACCAGGGTGACAATATACACACTTGATGTACTCCTTTCTCAATTTGGAGCCAGTCTGTTGTTCCATGTCTGGTTCTAACTGTTGCTTCTTGACCTGCACACAAGTTTCTCAGGAGGCAGGTAAGGTGGTCTGGTATTCCCATCTTTTAAAGAATTTTCCACAGTTTGTTGTGATCCACACAGTCAAAGGCTTCAGTATGGTCAATGAAGCAGATGTTTTTCTGGAATTCTCTTGTTTTTTCTATAATCCAGCGGATGTTGGTGATTTGATCTCTGGTTCCTCTGCCTTTTCTAAATCCAGTTTGAACATCTGGAAGTTCTGGGTTCATGTCTTGCTGAAGCCTGGCTTGGAGAATTTTGAGCATTACTTTACTAGCGTGTGAGATGAGTGCAACTGTGCTGTAGTTTGAGCATTCTTTGGGATTGCTTTTCTTCGGGATTGGAATGAAAACTGACCTTTTCCAGTCTTGTGACCATTGCTGAGTTTTCCATATTTGCTGGGATATTGAGTACAGCACTTTCATAGAATCATCTTTTAGGATTTGAAATAGCTCAGATGGAATTCTATCACCTCCACTAGCTTTGGTTGTAGTGATGCTTCCTTAGATCCACTTGACTTCACATTACAGGATGTGTGGTTCTAGGTGAGTGACCACACCATCCTGGTTATCTGGGTCATTAAGATCTTTCTTTGTATCATTCTTCTGTGTATTCTTGCCACCTCTTCTTAATATCTTCTGCTTCTGTTAGGTCCATATCATTTCTGTCCTTTATTGTGCCCATCTCTGCATGAAATGTTTCCTTGGTATCTCTAATTTTCTTGAAGAGATCTCTAGTCTTTCCCATTCTATTGTTTTCCTCTATTTCTTTGCACTGTTCACTTAGGAAGGTTTTCTTATCTCTCCTTGCTATTCTTTGGAACTCTGCATTCAGATGGATATATCTTTCTTTTTCTCCTTTGCCTTTCAGTTCTCTTTTTTTTCTCAGCTATTTGTAAGACCTCCTCAGACAGCCATTTTACCTTTTTGCATTTATTTTTCTTGGGGTTGGTTTTGATCACAGCTCCTGTACAATGTTATGAACCTCTGTCCATAGTTCTTCAGGAGCTCTGTCCATCAGATCTAATCCCTTGAATCTACTTGTGCCTAGCCTACTGAAAGGACAAAAACCTTTCCTAAGATTCTCAGAGAATTATCTTCCCACTCTTGTAATTTTTGACCTTAACCACATGAATTAACTGCTTATTTATGATTTTCTCCTTACAAAATTTGCAAATAACTAAATTGGAATATTAAAATATGATTTCATATGCTGTTTTTAAAAAACTTACTATCAGAAATACTTTCTCAGCCCTTAATTAATAATTGAACATTCCAAAGTCTGGTATATTATTATTAACATGTATGAGACCATACAGACACTCAAACATAGAGTGTACATATATATATACATATATGTATGTATATATAGTTCCTAGTTTTTGCTTATCATTATATAAAACCCTTAAATATTATAAACATCCAGATATGTAAATCTAGGTTGAATTCTTATTCACTCTTTTTTTTTTTTTTACTGTTTTACTTTATAGACCATAATGGTTATATTGGATGTGTGTTTTTTTTTAATTGAAATATACTTGATTTACAATATTGTGTTAGTTCCAGGTGTACAGCAAAGTGATTCATTTACATATATAGATTTCAGATTAATTTCCATTATAGGTTATTACAAGATATTGAACGTAGCTCTATATGCTATACAATAAACATTTGTTGCTCATCTATTTTATGTACAGTAGTTTGTATCTCTTAATCTCATACTTCTAATTTATCCTAATTTATCTGCTTCCCTTTGGTAACCATAAGTTTGTTTACTATGTCTGTGAGTCTGGGTCTCATATATATATATATATATATATATATATATATATATTCATTTGCATTATTTTGTAGATTCCACATTTAAGTAATATATATTTGTCTTTCTCTGTTTGACTTAGTATTATATTCTCTAGGTGCATCTATGTTGGTGAAAATGGCAAGATTTAATTCATTTTTATGATTGGGTAATATCCATTATATTTATATATCCCATATTCTTAAACCAATCATCTTTTGATGGGCACTTGGGTTGTTTAAATGCTTTGGCTCTTGTAAATAGTGCTACTTTGAACACTGGCATATACATGTCTTTTCAAATTAGAGTTTTTGTCTTTTTGAATATATGCCCAAGAATGGGATTGCTGGATCATATGGTAACTCTAATTTTAGTGTTCTAAGAAACCTCCAATCTGTTTTCCATAGTGGCTATACCAATTTGCCTTCCCACCAACAGTATAGGAAGGTTCCCTTTTCTCCACACCATCTCCAATCATTTGTCTGTGGACTTTTTAATGATGGCCATTCTGATCATGGTGACAGAATACCTCACTATAGTTTTGACTTGCATTTCCCTGGTAATTAGTGATACTGAACATCTTTTCATGAGTCTGTAGGTCATATGAATGTCTTCTTTGGAAAAATTTAAGTGTTCTGCCATTTTTTGATTGGGTTATTTGTTTTGATATTAGGTTGTATGAGCTATTTGTATATTTTGGATATTAACTCCTTGTTGGTCACTGTTTGCAAATACTTTCTCCCATTACATAGGTTGTCTTTTTTGTTTTGTTGATGGTTTCCCTTGCTATGCAAAAGCTTTAAGTTTGATTAGGTCCTATTTGTTTATTTTTGCTTTTATTTCTTTTGCCTTGGGAGACTGATATAAAAATATTGCTATGATTTATGTCTAAGAATGTTTTGCCTATGTTCTCTAGGAGTTTTATGGTGTTGCATCTTATAATTAGGTCTTTAAACCATTTTGAGTTTATTTTTTTTATATGTTGTGAGGGAATGTTCTAATTTCCTTGATTTACATGTAGCTGCCCAGTTATCCCAATACCATGTGTTGAAGAAACTGTCTTTTCTCCATTATATAGTCTTGTTTGCTTTATAATAGAATAACTGACTGTAGATGTGTGGGTTATCTCTGTTCCATTGATCTATATGTCTGTTTTTGTGCCAATATGAGGCTGTTTTGATTACTGTAGTTTCATTCACTTCTTAAGATAAATTCCCAGAAGCAGAATTATTAGATTTTAAGATGGTAACATTTTAAGCTTTCCCAAATTTCTCTCAGGAAAGTTTGTACTCATTTATATTGCTTCCAGCAATGTTTGAGAAAGCTATTTATTTCTCAAATTCCCTTAGCAGCATAGGGCATTATTTTTTAAAGAAAAACCAAATCTTGTTGAAATAGTAGGCAACAACCCGGAGCCCACTGTTACATAGTTGATATCTCCTTGGGTACTAGTGAATTAACATTTACTTAAGTATGTTTATTGGCCACTTACAATTATTCTGTGAGTTCCTTGTTTATGTGCTTCGACTTTTTCTGTTAGGTACTAATCTGTTTCTTATCAACTATTGTTGTTGTCTAGTCACACCTAAGTCATGTCTGACTTTTTTGAGACCCCACAGACTGTAGCCTGCCAGGGTCCTCTGTCCCTGGGATTCTCCAGGCAAGAATACTGGAGTGGGTTACCATTTCCTTCTCCTGAGATTATCAACTATAGTCACTCTTTATATATGGTGGATCCTAACTACCCTTTGTCATATATTTTGAAATTTTCTCCCCCACATGTCATTTCCTTTTCAGTTTCAGTTAAAGGTGTTTTCAAGTAGGATTTTTCTTGGTCAATCCACTTAATCTCTTTCTTCATATAGAATTGTTTCCTCCTTTATCTTTATGCTTAGGAAGACTTTCTTTTAGGATTAAAAAAATTATTTTAAATTTAACTTAAACTATGTGAAATCTACTGTGAAAAATGGTATAAAGTAGAACTCTTACATTTTTCTCCTCTAGTTTTTGCCAGTTGTCTCTATACTTTCGATTGAATTATTCATCCTTTCTGTAGTGGACTGAAATGCCACTTAAAAAATTGTGTAATAAACTGCTGCATGGACTTATTTGATTTTTCAATTATCTTTCATTTTGTCTATCTTTTTTAATGCTAAACTATTTTAATCAGTGTTCCCTCAACAGTACTCTTCTATAAACTTGTTTGCACAATTCATAACTACTTATTATCCTCCTTGGATCTTAGAACAATATTTAGCTTTTTAAAGACATTATTCTTGATAAGAATGAATAGAAAATTCATAGCTAATGAAAGACAGTCAAGCTGAGCTAACAGCTTCTGAAATGTCACTGCAAATAGTAACCTAATTCTACTGCTATCTGTTTATTGACTTGACAATACTTATTGGGTGCCAACCTCTATGTTAGGGGAGGTTCCTGCTTTTGTGAATCTAGTATCAATAAACAAGCCTGTTGACAACAAGTAAATAAACAATAAATGTACAATGACAAATTATTCCAGGGACATTGAAGGAAACCCTTAGTGCAATAATAGCAGGGGTGGAGGTAAGTGAGACCTTCCCAAAGAGGATGGTCAAGAAGGCCTTTCTGGAGTGAATATATTTTAGTTGAAGTCTGAAGGATGAGTCACCAAATGATGGGCAGGGAGAAGAGAGTTGCATGCAAAGGAAAAGACCTTGAGATGGGAAGCTGTCCCAGCCATGCTGTGTTCAGTCATGTCTGATTCTTTGCTGACCCCATGGACTGTAGCCTGCCAGGCTCCTCTGTCCATGGGATTCTCCAGGCAAGAATACTGGAGTGGGTTGCCATTTCCTACTCTAGGGGATCTTCCCGACCCAGGGATTGAACCCCTGTCTCTTGAGGTAGGAAAGAAATTGGTAAATTCCAAGAGCCAGAGAAAAGCAGGCTGCAGACAGGGTAGCAGAAGATGAAGCTGGAGAGGTGGCATGGGACACTTTAGGCAGGAGGTGAGGTCAGAGATTGTGGAAGATGTTTGGATTTTACTCTGAGTGCAAAGAAAACCCCCTGATGTGTTTAGCCTGATCTGACTGTAAATCCTGAAACCTCAGAGTAAGGAGGAGAAGGAGGTGACAGAGGATGAGATAGTTGAATGGCATCACTGACTCAACAGATGTGAGTTTGAGCAAACTCCTGGAGACAGTGAAGGACAGGGAAGCCTGGCATGCTGCAGTCCATATGGTCGCAAAGAGTCAAACATGACTTAGCAACTGAACAACAAGGCTATGAAAGAAGAGCTCATTCCATACTCTAAACTTCTTGAGTTTTAGTTTCACCCTAAAGGAGACACAACTGGTTCAATCCTGGAAACTGCTGAGAACAGAGACAGGGGCAAGACAGACACAGTGAAATTCTCTGAAATTCTCATAGCACCGCAGTCTTACAATAGGATTATCTCTGCAATTAGAAATTTGAATTCGTTAGTTGCATCTATCTCTTACCAGCTCTAGTGACACCCTTTTTGGCCAGTTGCAAGAGGCCCTTTTTTTTCAAGATGAAACTGGAGCCAATAAAAATGCTGGAACTTATTGCCAGGACCAGGCCTATATAAAGGCTGTATTTGCTCTCTGTAGAAACACTCAGGTTGGCTCCGCTGGAATTCAGGCCCCTGTAGAGGACAGGAGAGGCGAGCAGCCGCGACACACGTGTGATCGCACACCAAGCCTGGGAGGCGTTCGGGCAGCTCAGGGACAGCACCGAGCCTGGACAAAGGGAAAGAGGGAGACGTCAGCCGACGAGAGGGAGGCGCCTTAACAGTCTCTCTCTTTCTCTACTGACACACTCTTTTTCCTGCCTGATGGGCCGTCTCCAGCATGTGATCCATGGGTTGGCAGACACGTTCCGCTGGTCTCACACACACAAGTTCTTCACAGTGTTTTCAAAGTGCTTTAGCTGTCATCATCTAAGCATGACAGACTTCACAACAAAGTCTGGATTCCTCTTATTGAATGGAAAGTCTAGCAATACTTGGTTCTTTGCTTCAGCCAACAGCAGCCTGCTGGAGCATCAAAGAGCTGTGTGCACTGGCTTGGGCTCAGCAGTTCATTACAGCTCCCTACCCCACACATCCACTTCTCTCCTTCACGCCATCAGTGTGTTTCCCAGAAAGCATCATGCAGTGTGTGTATAATGCCCGAAAATAGGGAAGGGCACAGCAACCCCACCTGACTAGAAATCCCCACGTTACAGGAAACTGAGCTAATCCACTTGATGTGCATTTCAGAAAATCTGTTTAAAAGTGGGTCTAGTGTTCTAGACCACTTTCCCCATAGAGAACAAGTTTTCAAGTCTAATTCACTTCCTCCTTAATAAAACAGACTCTAATAGAAAAATGAATTAAATATCAGTAGGCCTTTTTTTTCCCCTTGAAGAGGATTCAAATAAGCATGTAAATGCACTGAACCAGACCCATTATTATAACTGCCTTTTTTGGGGGAGGGGGGAGCTAAATATTAAAACACAGAATGAAAACATTTTATACTGTTTAAGAGATTTTTTATAATCGATTCTCCACTTGAAAAGCTGCCAACACAGTGACCCCCTGACTAGGTTTTCTATCTTTTCAACTTTTTTTCCATTTGAAAGGCATATTTTCCTAGCATGACTTACCCTGAACAAAAATGGGCAAAGACAAATTAACTACAATTTTAGGATTCAGTGAAATAAAGTCAGCTTTACATCTCAAAAATCTTAAGAAGGCATGTAAACAACAAAAGATAGTTTGACTAAATGTTGTCTTAGAAACAAAACTTTAACAGTGGGATCTGTGCCTCTGGGGCAAAGCAGTACACGTGCGTGCATGCGTGCTAAGTTGCTTCAGTCACATCCAACTTTGCAGCTGTATGGACTGTAACCCACCAGGCTCCTCTGTCCATGGGGTTCTCCAGGCAAGAATCCTGGAGTGAGTTGCCATGTCCTCCTACAGTGGATCTTCCCAACCCAGAGATGGAACCTGAACATCTTTTGTCTCGGGCACTGGCAGGCAGGTCCATTACCACTAGCACCACCTGGGAAGCCCTAAAAGCAGCATGACCTCTGTGAGCTCTGCCATACATACAGCTGAGGAACAGCTATAAAGTTCAAGACTAGCAAAAGGTAAAATAATTGAATTCAGTTTTTTCATGGTTATTATTTCATTTATCTCTGTAATTTGAAAATGAACCAACTTTGATTCAGAGATACAGGATAAATTCTGAGACAAAACTTCTAAATATTCCAAGGAGAATTATATTACTTCAGGGATAGTTTACCGTAACTGGGGAATTTTTCAGGCTGGTTGTTTCAGTAAGAGCTGCTGCAAATTTTCACATAAGCTAGCCACAAGCAATCTAGTCCTGGACACTGTTCATCTCATCTAACCCCCAATTACTACCAAGGTAATTTTTAGTAGTAAGAATTTTGATTACATGCATTTTTGTGAAAACATCTGACTGAACTGGACAGAAAATTCCATGGCTGCATCAGTATCATTTACTATGTAGTTAACATAACCATTCCAAAACTTTAACTCTGGAAACAGTGTGGGTGGATCTCATTCCAGTGAAACAATACTCCTTCTGAACTGTTTACACAGCAAAATGTATCCAACATTTTAGGGGGCGTGGGGGCAGAGGATGATAAGGGAAGGCAAATAATCTTTGTTGCCTTTTGTAAGTTCTCATTGTAAATGAACATTAATGTTGTAAGTTTTATGGCAGGAAAAATAATAAAATCTTGTCTAGTTACTGACCTTACAACTTAAATTGTTTTATGTTTGGGGAGCATATGAAAGAGGGAGGCCACGGCAGATATGAACGAATGAGGGAGTGACTGGTGGGTAGGTGGGTTTGGAGTGCTGAAGGGCAGGAGGGGAGGGGTGGAGGAAGCAGAATATGTGGGCAGGGACACTGGAGGTTTCTGAGCAATTAGAGATCTCAAAATTGAGGTAGCTTCTTAAGATTATAGTAAGCAAAGTAATTCTCCAGGAGTTTAATCCAAACTTTATCTAACACAGAAAATCTATTACATTCCTTCTTTTTCATTTTAATAGACACTGCCAATAGCCCTTTCAAGTGTCTATACCAATTTATACTCCTGTCAGCAAAGAGCATGTATCATTTCTTTAATGTTATATTGTTTTAAATATTGAATAACATTTAGGAAATATGTGTCAGTTATAAAGAAAAAATAATATATACCAACATATCAACCACCTAATTTAATAAGTAAAACACTGTCCCTCAGAGGTAACAACTAATCTGATTTTCTGTCTAATAGTCCTTGCTTCAAAAAAAAAAAAATGATTTCCCGGGACTTCCCTGCTAGTCCACTGGTTAAGACTTGGAGCTTCCACTGCAAGGGACATGGGTTCAATCCCTGCTCAGGGAACTAAGATCCTACATGCCATGGGGAATGGCCAAAAAAAAAAAAATTCCCCTATAAGATTATATCTTTAAATAATAAATTGTTTCATTTTCTTCTTTTTACACTTTCTAAAAATGTAATCATATAGTATGCATTCTTTGGTGATTTGCTTGCTTTTGAAATTTATCATTCTTGATGCTCTGACTGTAAGGTCTGCTTTTTTCCCTACTGTTCTATAGAATTCCACTTTATGACTACCTCACCAGTAATTTTTCTATTTTATAGTTTGTGGACATTTGGGTAATTTGCAGTGTTTTTTGTTTTTACAAACAGTACTGCTAATGTTCTCAATTATGTTAAACCAAATAAAGTTGATGATATTTGACAATTTTTGACCCAACAAAAAATAGCAGTTTCATATGATTCAACTTAAGATGTATCTTCTAGGTACAGGTATGAGTATCTTCTTACACACACTTAAAAATTTAACAACAAAGTTAAATTTTGTATAGGATTATATGCCTTTTCCCACCTTAAACTCCATTACTAATCATCTATAATGTTGGGAAAGTTGAATCATCACTCTTGACTTCAGTTTCTTCATCTCTAAAATGAGGGAGTTTGACTCAATGAGTCTAAAGATACTTTCAATACTTTTGGGTTTGATAATAAGTTATCTTCATTCCCAGAGTAATTTACTTATAATTCTGGTAGCTCATAAATATTGCTGATGGACCAGCTCTAAATTCACAGGCACTTGTATCTGGAAGATATCTTAAAGAAACTGATGCCAAGATATTAAGTGACTTGGCAAAGCCATGTAACAGCCAAAATCAAGGCCAAATAATCCAATTCCCAGACTACTATTCTATTTCAGAAACATAAGAACAAAAAGTACAAATAAATAATGTCAGTTAACATTTATTGTTGTTTATACAAAGATGAAATGCTTCAAATAGTTTTTTCAAGTCTTAATTTGTCTATAAGAATAATTTAGGGCTCCCTTGGTGGCTCAGTGGTAAAGAATCTGCCTGCCAATGTAGGAGACACAGGTGGATCCCTGTTCCCGGAAGATCCCACATACCTCGAAGCAACTAAGCCTGTGCACCACAACCACTGATCCTGTACTCCAGAGCCTGGGAGCTGCAACAACAGAAGCCTGAGCATCCTAGAGTTTGGGTTGTGTGTAATACAGCAATAGCTGACTGATGGTGGTGGTTTGGTGGTTTAATTGCTAAGTTGTGTCTGACTCTTGCAACCCCACAGACTGTAGCCAGCTAGGCGCCTCTGTCCATGGGATTTCCCCAGCAAGAATACTGGAGTGGATTACCATTTTCTTCTCCAGGGGATCTTCCTGACCCAGGGATCAAACCCACATCTCCTGCCTTGCAGCCAGATTCTTTACTGCTGAGCCACCAGGCAAAGCCCTAGCTGACTGATACACTTGCCTGTTTATATTAGCAAAGGAAAGAATGAATGAAATCTCTTATGTCTCCTACAATTTATTCTCCAAATATCAGCCAGTGTGAATCAGATTACAACACTCCCCTGCTTAATTCCCCATGATTTTTCATGGCAGTTATAACAAAATTTAAATTTCTAATTTTTAAAGAGCTTTACATGTTCTGAAGCTTGCTCACCTCTGACATTATGTTGCATTACTCTCTCTCACTCATTCTCTGAAACAACACCTTTCATTCTCTGATTCAATATATTTTTATTGAGTATCTACCATCTGTCAGGCATTTTCTAGAAGTTGGGGTTACAACTGTGAGCAAAGTAAAATTCCTGCTCTACTACAGTCATCTAATGGGGGAAATGAACAAGTGACCTAAAAACTACAGAATATGTTGACTGCCATGGAAAGGAGTAAAAGCAGCATAAAGGGGTATTTTTTAAGAGAGAGCACTGACTAGAAAAAGCTCTGTGCTAAAAGTAAATGCGAACACCCAGATGTGGGAATTTTCTTGAGGGGGATGAAAGGAACTTTAAGCCAGGCTGGCTGATGAGAGAAGAGAGATGGTGTGAGATGAGGTCAGAGAGTAGTAAGACATAAGCTCGGGTGAGATAAGCCTTTACTTAAGTCCATCCTTCTGTGTCACTTCTCCTTCCAGAATTGTACAATGGTGTCCCTTTCCATTCAGAAAAAGTCCAAAATCCCACCACAGTCTAAAATGGCCTATAGAATCCTGCCTCCATGTATCTCTGTAACCTCATTTCCTAATTTTCTCCCTTCTTTCTTTAATAGGATTAATTTCTTCTGACCTTAGACACTTTTAAGTAAGCAGTCTTCACTTGTTACTTTGTCCTAGTAGTGGCTGGTATGACTGACTCCTTCTCTTAGTGAACTCTCACCTCCTTAGAAAGCTTCTCTGCCTTTCCAACCTAATTTCTCACTTTCCACTGTACAATTTAACACTGCCAACCAAACAAATGTCCTCTTACAGCTTAATTATGGCTTTGTAACAACATTGTATATCCACAGATCTATTTCATTTATTTACTCAACAAACTACCATATGTGTGCTAAGTCACTTCAGTTGTGTCCAACTCTTTGTGACCCAGGGGACTGTAGCCAGCCAAGCTCCTCTGTTCATGGGATTCTTCAGTCAAGAATACTAGAGTGGGTTGCCATTTCCTTCTCCAGGGGATCTTCCAGACCCAGGGATCGAACCCACATTTCCTGTGTCTCCTGTATTGGCAGGCAGGTTCTTTACCACTAGTGCCACCCGGGAAGCCCAAACTACCATACAAAGCCCCATGTTAGGTAACCATTCATCAACACTTAAATTCTAATTATACTTTTTGTGTGCCAGGCCTCTTCCAGGAATGTGGGAGACAGTGATCAACAAGACAGGTAAACAGGTCTCTGTTCTCATGGAAACTGACAATTTTATTGAGAAAACTAACAAAAAGATAAGAATAAGGAGGGTAGAATAGGAATTAGAAATAATCTGGAGCAGAAATGGAGAGAAAATTTGGAGCAGAAATAAGAATGAGAAATAATTTTGCTATAAACTGGAAGTTTGGAAATAAACTGTGATAGGACTGGGTAAGAAGCACAATATTTCAATTAATCCAAATAAAATTGAGCAGATACTGTTGATTTTTTTAAAAGTTAAAAATTTGTATATCTAAACAAGATCATCCTACTATCAGTATGTTTGGAAGCCAAATACTCTATGAGGACTGTTGATCATCAGATTTCCTACATAAACTGCTGCAATTAATAACATACTGTTTTCTGAACAACCTTTAGTGAAGAATTTTTACTAGCTTAGAGCACTTAAATTTCAGCACCTAGAGCACTTAAACTTGGAAAAAAAAAAACTTATGCTTTTAACTTTCTTATAGAAATCTGGAGAAAATCTATTTTAGTGTAATATAAAAGAAGCTATATTTTGTATAGAAAATACAGCTTGCCCTGCTAATAAAAGTTATATTCATTTGGTGGAATTTTGAGAAATGTTTATTATATGTTTTTTTTAAGAGTAAAATCTCAGAATCATTAACATATACCATTGCATCCAAGAGGCCAGAGACTGCGGATGGACACCTACAAAAAAACAAAGTCTCAAATACTTTTGTACTTGGTTTGACTCCTAATTATGAAGACTTATTCAATTATTTGGGCCTCTAGGCCCAGACTGTCTTGCAAATCTCTCTGTTCTATTGATAGAACCTAGGTCAATGTCTGACACATGGGACCTAGGTCAGTGTCATTTGAATAAATGAACAAATGAAAAATTGATCCTTTACTCCATGTCAGGTCAGACTCTGAAGTGTTTGCTTCATATGTAATCCCACCTGCATCTACTCCTCAAACTCTAAACTGTAGGAATTATTCTCAATTTACAGACAAAGAAAGACTTAGGAGGATGTCATGGCTGAGAAGACTACCTGTGTGCTCAGTCGCTTCAGTCATGTCGAATTCTTTGCAACCCCACAGACTGCAGCCCACCAGGATCCTCTGTCCGTGGGATTCTCCAGGCAAAAGGACTGGAGTGGGTCGCCATTCCCTCCTCCAGGCGATCTCCCAGATCCAGGAATCGAATTGGAGTCATCTGCATTTTCTGCATTACAGGCAGATTCTTCACCACTGAGTCACCAGGGAAGTTTCACTGATAACAATTCTGATTTCTCTCAAGTCTTTTCCCCCAGTCGCTGTTCAGTCGTGTGCTCAGTCGTGTGTCTGACTCTCTGTGATCTCATGGACTGCAGCATGCCAAGTTTCCCTGTCCTTCACCGTCTCCCCAAGGTTGCTCAAACTCATGTCCATTGAGTTCGTGATGCCACCAGAGTCCCACACAATTAATTATCACAGTTAACCCTTGGTATTAAACATGGAGGGCTTCCTTGGTGGTTCAGTGGTAAAGAATCCGCCTGCCAAACCAGGAGACTCAAGTTCCATCCCTGGATCGGGAAGATCCTCTGGAGAAGGAAATGGCAACCCACTCCAGTATTCTCGCCTGGAGAATTCCATGGACAGAGCCTGGTGGGCTACAGTCTGTGGAGTCACAAAGAGTCTTACAGGACTTAATGACTAAAAAACAACAATTAAACATGGAGCTTGAACATTTCTTGTTGGAACTAAATATATGAGCAGAGCAGAAAATCATCCCTAAGTTCAAATAGGCAGGGTAATTCACACATCCTCCTTACAGAACCCTGGGAAAACAAGGGTGGACGTGTTAGTATCAGTGGACGTGTTAGTAACAGTCTGATTTACTGGTTTAGGAATTCTTTAGACAAAGATTGACTATCTAAGAAATAATTCTAGATCCTACTGCCTTCGTAACCACTTTCAAACACTTCCAAAACCACAACTTTCTAATAGTTTGTGAACTGTTCAGGCATTTTACTCTTTGTGTTCGTTCTTTCTCTTCCTGGCACCGTTCTGACTTCTAACTTAAAAACAAAACAAACAATACCTCTCCACAGCAAGGAATAAGCTGGGAGAGCCAAAGGAAGAGAAACTCTGGGGATCTGCCCGCAGTTTTGGGAAGGCAGAGTTCTTGCCACGCCTCTCATTGCCCCCTCCCTCTTTACATCCTTACTGGGTAAACCAGAAATCACCTTTCCTCTGGACTCTGTACAAACTGAAAACTGTGATTTCAGCTGATACAAACTGTGCGCCCGCGCCCCCTCCCCGCCCGCCTGGTCCCCAGGTTCTTAGTTTCATCCCGAGTTACACGTGCCTTCGGTACTGAAGTTGTAGAAAGCCCATGAGCAAAGGGCAAGGGGCGGCGCCCTAAGACTTTACCCGACGAGGGCTGGGGCAGAAACCCAGGCCGCAGAGCAATGAGAAAGCTACAAAGATCGCGCCCAGTTCCGGTCTCGCCTTAAGCAGCCAAGGGACTCTGCAGCGAGTCAGACGCGAGGCTACTGAGCGTTTTCACCTCTCAAAGAAAGAGGAGAGAGACGGGCAGCCCAGCCGTGCCCAGCGTCCTCCCCCGGGGGTGTCCAGGGCGCCTGACCCTCCAACCTTGCTTGAGCTTCGCAAGCCCGCGCTGGGCGCAAGACGGGAGTCCGCCGGGACCACGGCCGCGCCCTCTGCCGGCGGGATGACGTCGACCACGGACTCTGGAAGTAAGTCTGAGTCATTGGAAGCGTCTTTCTCGTCTGAAACTCGGGAGTCTTTCCACAACACCCTGAACACCCCGTCAAGACAGTCAGCTCTCCATAATTTACGTGGACCTGTCTTCTGGAGTGGGAGTGGGAAGCCACGTATTTCTGGTTCGACTCAGGCATTCCCATAGAGTCTGGCATATTGTTGGCACCAATAAATATCTGTTGAACGAGTACGTTAAAAGTCGGCGTTTCCCTTTCTAGACTCCACAAGTACCAGCGACCGCCCGCCGGGTCTCATCGCCACCCGGACGCCAAGTCCTCCGGCCCGGAGCAGACACTCACCTTCTCGGCAGGGCTCTCCGGGCGGCAGCCTCACCTGTCCCCCCATGGCCCCCGACGGGGCTTCCCAGGCGCAGAAGCTCGCTCCTCAAGCACCCGGTCTTCTGCTCCCCACGTACCCGCGTGGCGGCGGAGCCGCGGGGTCTCGGACGGCCGCGCTCAGACCCCGGCCCCGGACAGCCTCAGCCAATGGGGACGGCGGGGTGGGGCCTCCCCGAGAGCAACGCCCCCGAGCCGCGGGGTTGGGTGCGGACTCCCGCAGCTGGCGGAGGCCGCGGTCCGCCGCGCAGGTACGGTGGTGGGTTCGCCGACGGCCCCTCGGGACCGCTGCTGGACCCAAGCAGAGCAGAAGCACAGGCACACTTCACGGGGTAAAGCGTCTCTCGGAGCGTGGAAATCGCCAGGTCAACTCCCGGGGAATTTTGTGATGTAAAAGTCTGTGCTAAGGCCCCCTTCAGGCTCCTCTCTGGTTGAAATGCCTTCTGCTGGGGGATTCTGAGGGCTCTGCTTTGGGTGTTCGCGGCTTTGCAGGGAAGTTGTGGCCCCTGGGATTCTGCTCTGATTACCAAGTGAAGTTTATTCTGGGGGCTTGAGAAGAGAGTTTGTTGTTTTGTACCATTATCAGCTTTTCCCTAAGTCCCTAGGCTTCAAACTCCCACCTTCCATCTCTCCCTTTCCTAAATCATGTAGTTAGTGCCCTAACCCTAAAAGAAAGGCAGTGCTCAAACTGAAACGACTAATTCCTGACGTTTATGATAGTCTTACTTCACCATGCATGTGTAGGCACTTTATGTGTATTAACACGTTATATCCTACAACATCGTCTGTTGACCCCTAATTTACAGAAGAGAGTTCGGAGGAAAAGAATGAGATTAAATAATTTAACCAGCTATTCATTGGAAGGCTTGGTAGCAGGTCATTATGCAGCAAGATATGGGTATAATTCCTGGTAAAACTCTCACCACAGGAATGGGGTGCCTCTGTGTTCTGGGGCTTCGGCAGGGAAGGAAATACTCTCGTCTGCCTATCTTGCCTTTGCTGTAGGTAATCATGAACAGTGCTATTAACTTTGTTACCTAGGAGTTGCATAGCAGAGGCTCAATCTTGCTTTTCTTGTTCTTAGGCTAAGTGAAGAGTTAAGATCAGCGAACAAAACAATACAAAGTACACACTCTCACATGTGATTGGTTTGGTGGAGAAGGAATAGCATAGGGAGGTGAAAGTTGAAAGGAAGGGAGACTTATGCCAAACTTGGATTGCTGTAAAGCTTAGATTTCTATTTAAAAGTTTTGTTTATACCTTAGAGTTGAAAATTCTACCTTATCAAAGTTTGGTGATGATAGTCAACAGGGATCTAAAGTACTGTTTATTTATTACTTACTTAGTTAACTGACACATATGTAGCATTTATATGGACAAATATTCTGAGATTTTTATGAATATTTGCTTTGTAAATTATAATAGAAACTATTCTTAATCCTTACTGAACAGATGACAAAAGGGAGGCACATAGAGACTCAAAAACTTGCCTGTGAACATATAGCTAGTAAGTTGTGGAACTGGGATGCTAACTGGGGCCTCAGAGTCTGTGCTCTTAACCCATTTGCTAATTGGATTTTTTTTAAAAAATGAAAAATGTATCTTTGAGATGATATATAAATCTAGATCTGCAACTATTGAGTGGTTTTCCTCCTGATTATAGATCACCTTTTTCTGCTTTTTAAAATAAATTTTAAAATTTAATTATTTATTTATTTATCTTTGGCTGCACTGGATCTTCATTGCTGCGGGGGTCTTTCTCTAGTTGTGGAGAGTCGGGGCTACTCGTTGTGGTGGCTTCTCTTGTTGCAGAGCATGGGCTCTAGGCATGCAGGCTTCAGTAGCTGAGGCATTTGCATTCAGCAGTTGTGGTGCACGGGCTGAGCTGTTCCAAGACATGTGGGCTCTTAGTTCCCCGACCAAGGACTGAACTGAGTCCCCTGCACTGGAAGGCAGATACTTAACCCCTGGACTACCAGGGAAGCCCTGAGCATGATATTTAAAATTCATGGTTTATTTCTGAAACTAAGCATCATTTTATGACTTGTATTGACAAGCAAACAGTACAAAGTTTGTCCACATAGAAATTGATAAAATAATCTACGCTGACTCAAGTGTTATTTAACTTGGCACTGCTGTCAGTAATACACAACCCTATCTCCTCTGTGATAGGTTCCTTCCCTACTCTGAATCCTTTAGAGCCCTTCTATATTTAATTATGTTGCTTACCTAGAAATTTTGTGGGCTTCCCAGGTGGCCCTAGTGGTAAAGAATCTGCCTGACAATGCAGGAGATGCAAGAGACATGGCTTTTATCCCAGGGTGGGGAAGATCCCCTCGAGTAGGAAATGGCACCCCACTCTAACATTCTTGCTTGGAAAATTCTATGGACAGAGGAGCCTGGTGGGATACACTCCATGGGGCCACAAAGAGTAGGACACAACAGAACACACATACACACACATCCCACACACAACCAGAAATTTTATACTCTAGCAGTAATTATTAATTAATAGGGAACTCCAGGACCTTTCAGTAAATAATATCTTAATAGTTGTCATAATTGAGGTTCTAATGTACGCTAGACCTGTGGGAAGAGTTTTGTGTAGAATATCTCTAATTACCATTAATTGATAAAAAGGGTCCCTTCAACTATCAATATACTGATAAAAACAAACACTTGCTAATTGGCAGAGCCAGTGTGCAAGTTACATTAGTTTGACTCCTAAGTTTGTTCGGTTTTCTAAGCAACTGTTAACATCAGGTGCTAAAATTGTATTACTCAGCTTCTTTTAGACATATGAGAATTAATCAAAATTCTATCAGTTTTTTAAGATCAGTTAAATTCAGTAATAATAAATGTTTTCCTTTAAATTGCATGATAGTTTATGAAGAGTTGTGTAATTTCAGTTACAATAGCACAATGGTAAGCAGGTATATGCCAAAGTCTTTGACTGTGTGGATCACAATAAACTGTGGAAAATTCTGAAAGAGATGGGAATACCAGATCACTTGACCTGCCTCTTGAGAAACCTATATGCAGGTCAGGAAGCAACAGTTAGATCTGTACATGGACCAACAGACTGGTTCCAAATAGGAAAAGGAGTAGGTCAAGGCTGTATATTGTCACCCTGCTTATTTAACTTATATGCAGAGTACATCATGAGAAAGGCTGGGCTGGAAGAAGCACAAGCTGGAATCAAGATTGCCAGGAGAAATATCAATAACTCATATATGCAGATGACACCACCCTTATGGCAGAAAGTGAATAGGAACTAAAAAGCCTCTTAATGAAAGTGAAAGAGGAGAGTAAAAAAGTTGGCTTAAAACTCAGCATTCAGAAAACTAAGGTCATGGCATCTGGTCCTGTCACTTCATGGCAAATACATGGGGAAACAGTGTCAGACTTTATTTTCGGTGGCTCCAAAATCACTGCAGATGATAATTGCAGTCATGAAATTAAAAGACGCTTACTCCTTTGAAGGAAAGTTATGACCAACCTAGATAGCATATTAAAAAGCAGAGATATTACTTTGCCAACAAAGGTCCGTCTAGTCAAGGCTGTGGTTTTTCCAGTGGTCATGTATGGATGTGAGAGTTGGACTGTGAAGAAAGCTGAGTGCCGAAGAATTGATGCTCTTGAACTGTGGTGTTGGAGAAGACTCTTGAGAGTCCCCTGGACTGCAAGGTGATGCAACCAGTCCATCCTAAAGGAGATCAGTCCTGGGTGTTCATTGGAAGGACTGATGCTGAAGCTGAAACTCCAATACTTTGGCCATCTCATGCGAAGAGCTAACTCATTGGAAAAGACCATGACGCCGGGAGGGATTGGGGGCAGGAGGAGAAGGGGATGATAGAGGATGAGATGGCTGGATGGCATCACCAACTTGATGGACATGAGTTTGAGTAAACTCCGGGAGTTGGTGATGGACAGGGAGGCCTGGCGTGCTGCGATTCATGGGGTTGCAAAGAGTCAGACACGGCTGAGTGACTGAACTGAACTGAACTTAGGTATGTACACTTCTTACAGGTTGGGCTGTGATTCTGTAGGCTCTAAAATCCTGTTTTATTAATTCGGTAGGTCTGGTTTTACAGGTTGGATGATTATGATCTGTAATTAGTATGTTCTTTTCCTGTAAACAAATCTACCTGAAAAGCTAAATTATAATTAAGGAGTTAGTTTGCTCATTAGCAGAAATCTCGCCACGTATTAAGGGCTTCCCAAGTGACTCAGTGGTAAAGCATCCACCTGCCAGTATAGGAGACTCAGGAGATTCAGTTTCGATCCCTGAATCGGGAAGGTTCTCTGGAGTCGGAAATGACAACCCCCTCCAGTGTTCTTGCCTGGAAAGTCCCATGGACAGAGGAGCCTGGCAGGCTACAGTCCATGGGATCACAGAGAATTAGACAGGACTGAGTGACTGAGCCTACACACACAGCCATATATTGAACACCTCATTTGTGGAAGAAAGTTTACTTACTATGTTAGATATATCTTTTAACTAAGAAATAGAGAAGACTTAGAAAATATTTTTAAAAATTGAAGTATAGTTAATTTACACTGTGTCAGATGACATCACCCTTATGGCAGAAAGTGAAGAAGAACTAAAGAGGGTCTTAATGAAAGTGAAAGAGGAGAGTGAAAAAGCTGGCTTAAAACTCAACATTCAAAAAACTAAGATCATGGCATCTGGCCCCATCACTTCATGGCAAATAGATGGGGAAACAGTGACAGACTTTATTTTGGGGGCCTCCAAAGTCACTGCAGATGGTGACTGAAGCCATGAAATTAAAAGACGCTTGCTCCTTGGAAGAAAAGGTGTGACCAACCTAGACAGCATATTAAAAAACAGAAACATTACTTTGCCAACATAGGTCCATCTAGTCAAAGATGTGGTTTTGCCAGTAGTATGGATGTGTATGGATGTGAGAGTTGGACTATAAAGAAAGCTGAGCACTGAAGAATTGATGCTTTTGAACTGTGGTGTTGGAGAAGACTCTGAGAGTCCCTTGGACTGCAAGGAGACCCAACCAGTCTATCCTAAAGGAAATCAGTCCTGAATATTCATTGGAAGGACTGATGCTGAAGCTGAAACTCCAATATTTTGACCACCTGATGTGAAGAATTGACTCATTTGAAAAGACCCTGATACTGGGAAAGATTGATGACAGGAGGAGAAGGGACAACAGAGGATGAGATGGTTGGATGGCATCACCGACTCAATGGACATGAGTTTGAGTAGGCTCTGAGAGTTCGTGATGGACAAGGAAGCCTGGTGTGCTGCATTCCATGGGGTTGCAAAGAGTCAGACACAACTGAGCGACTGAACTGAACTGACTGGAGTGTACAGCAGAATGATTCAGTTATACATATATTCTTTTTCACATTCTTTTCTATTATAGGTTATTATATTATAGTTCTCCATGCTATACAGTAGGTGTTTACTGCTTAGCTATTTTATATATAGTAATATGTATATAAATTCATTTGTGTTGCTTTTTCAGATTCCACATATAAGTGATATTATATGATATGAAATAGAGAAGGTTTATAACTTGCCCTCGGTAACACAGTTAACAAGAAGAAGAACTGGATTTTGAACCAAAGTGTATCTGACATCCTGACTCTTAAGCCAGATTGCCTCTCATAGGGAGTGGTATGCACACTCCCTATCCCAGTGCCTGGCATGTAACACTCCCCATTTTTTCTTAACTGAATAAGGGCACTAGCATTTTGTCAATCTTGCACATTTTATGTATTTTGGATTCTGATTTGTTGAATGAAGAAGATTGAAAAGATATTTAATAAATGTATATTATATTAACATGGATACATACTAGCTATTTGGAAGTGGTAAATTAATGAAAATCATGGATCATCTCAGAAAAGAACACGTTTTCATGTATATACCGCATCATGTCATAGTATCATGGGGTCCTGGACGCCCAAATTACGGTAATGGGATCTAAGAACTTTTGAGTTCAAAGGGCAGTGGAAGGCCGTTCTGCTGTCTACCCTCTTACCAGTGTTGCTACTCGCAAAGCTGTGCAGGCTCTACTTTCTCTTGCTGGAACCCTGAATGATAAGGTAAATACAGGTACGGGAAAATACATAAATTTTCCATTCATCTATTTCAATGAGTATTACTGAGGCACTGACATGAACTAACTCCTCATTCTCCAAACAGATCCCCCATCTCCCTCTATCCCCATCCTGTTCTTCTTGGTGCCTTCCTATCTCATTAGATTACAATCTCTTCTTTAGTTTCATGTGTCAAAATCTAAAGTCCACCTGGACTTCATTCTTTCACTCACACCACCCCCACCCCCGCCTCCATGTACTCAATCAGCAAATCTTATTGTCTCTGTCTTAAAAATGCACGGCTTTTCATCATCGCCACATCTGCCATCCTGGTCTGAACCACTGCCATCTCTCACTGAATTGCTGGCATAGCCTCCTAACTGTTCTTCACATGATCTGTCCTCTAAGACCTTAACTCCTTCCCCTCCAGCCTTTGTTTCCTCTAACTTAGCCACCTGACCTCTTGGATGTTCTTTAAATACTCTAAGGCAGTCCTGTTTTTTAGCTTTGCACATGTTTTCTTGCTAGGCAGGATCTGCCCCCCAGAACTAGGCATGACTAGCTTTGTGCCTATATTGAGGTCTCAGCTAGGTGAGGTCGTCCCTGAATACCCCATCTAAAACTGTCCTGCCTTATCCCCACATCATTTTCTCTCCCCCCTGCCTTATTTTATCGTATTATTGATCACTGTCTGACTTCGGTGTTTACTGCTTAGTTTATTGTCTTGTACTGTCCTACCCCACTAGAATGTATCTTCCATGAGGGCAGGAACTTAGTTTTGTTTACTATTAAACTTCTTAGTGCTTAGAAGGGATCCTGGCACTGAATATCTGTTAAATGAATGGTTATGCATGGTATTGAGCTAGACACTAAAGATACAGTCGTGAATAACACAGACACCATCCCTTGTGGAGTTTACAATTTTTATAGGGAAGGCAGACATTAAATAATGTAGCTCAGCTGGTAAAGAATCTGCCTGCAATGCAGGAGACCTGTGTTCGATCCCTGGGTAGGGAAGATCCCCTAGAGAAGGGAAAGGCTACCCACTCCAGTATTCTGGCCAGGAGAATTCCATGGAGTGTATAGTCCATGGGGTCACAAAGAGTCAGACACTACTGAGTGACTTTTACTTTACACGATATTTAATTATTATGGTTATAAGTGTTGAGAAGACATCATTGACCATTCTGACTACAGGTCTTGGTATGCTGGAAGACATACTATCAAATATTTAATAATTTAGGGCCAAGTGCCAGAATCCTTTAAATTACACAGTTTTTGAAATGAAAATACAACAGAATCAATGTCACACAAATGAGCATATACAGTTAGAGGCAGTTTAAATAGGATTATAAAGATTTAGAGGGAGCTGACGAAGCAAGGCTGGGAACCAGACTAAAAGTAGCCTACTAAACAGATAATCCAGTGCGGCCGTGTTCTCTCCATCAGTCAAGGTTACTGCAGGTCCCAGGAAGAGAAATCTATTGGTAGACCAGGTCAAGTTAATTGTCCTTTGGAGGGGAAAACAAAATGAAACAAGATGAAACATACTTTTACCCTTTTAAATTTGGGTAAATCAGAAAAATATCCTAGTATGTGTGTTGTATATATAAATACAACATTCCTACTTACCTTCAATTTCAGCAGAGATAATTTTCCCCCAGAAGTTTTCTTGACCAACTCTTTTCCTCTCCAAATCTTAGGGCTTCTTTTGTGTGCTTCCTTAACCCTCTATCACACTCTTTTGTAAGCACCTCTTGCTTTGCCTGTTTCCCTCTTGTGGACAATCTCTAAGGAAAGGGCTCCCATATCTTAGAACAGCACCCAGCATAGTGTGGTGCTCGGGAATTACATGTTGGATGAATTCTATGCCTTTATGAAGGACTATTATTTCACATTGTAAAGTACTGTACATACAGAAAACACAGATTTTCATTTTAAAAAACTGAAGAGAATTATTTTATTTGGTCACACACTGCTAGAATTATGTAACAAATTGTTTAGAAACACGGTATAAAAAATAGCTCTGTATCTTTACCTATTAGTTATTAGTTATTTAATAGCTACACATACTTGGCCGTCAAAAGTCCTATGGCAACATGTTGGATACAGGTAAGGCCTAAGCAATGTGCTGCAAAGCTCCAGTTTAGAGGAAAGCGAAAGGAGAGAGAGCACGTTATTAAGTGTCCTCTTATATATACCATGAGCATATCATATGCTGTAATCTTCCTCCATTTTTCTCACAAAAACCTTCTGAGGGAGGTATTATATTTCCATTTTACAGATAAGGAAACTGAGACTCAGAAAGATTAAGTTATTTTCTCAAGACTGCACAACTAGCAAGTGTCATCCCAAGAATCAAAAATATTCACTTCATCCTTAATTATAGTTTTGGAATAGGAAAGGTGCACAAAGGCAGTGTAAGCTAGTAAGCGAAGATAAAATAAATGAGAGATTCTAATGGTGTGTGTGTGTGATTCATTGGGGAATAGCTATTTTATAATGGCAAGTTCTGTAAAGTTTTATGTCAACCAGGGGTTGAGTTGGCAGGAGGAAGAAAGGTATCAGAATTATTGCTCAAACTTATTTAATTCATTGAATCATTCTAAGAGTATTTCAGTTAACAGGCAATCCAGGGGAAAATGAATGGCATTATGAGGGAGCAAGTTCCTAATCTTGTCAGCTTGTTTTATTTTTAGGTATATTTGTTTTAGTTACATCTTTGGGCTTCCCTCACAGCTCATTGGTAAAGAATCTGCCTGCAATGCAGGAGACCTCAGCTTGATTCCTGGGTCGGGAAGATCCACTGGAGAAGAGATGGTCTACCCATTCCAGTATTTTGGGGCTTCTCTTGTGGCTCAGCTGGTAAAGAATCTGCCTGCAATGTGGAAAACCTGGGTTTGATCCCTGGGTTGGGAAGATCCTCTGGAGAAGGGGAAGACTATCCACTCCAGTATTCTGGCCTGGAGAATTCCCTGGACTGTATAGTCCATGGGGTCACAAAGCATTGGACATGACTTTCACTTGGTATATGAGGTAAGATTAGAAAAAGATTGCTCTAAATAACTGTAAGATATTTCCTGAGTCAGCAAATGTACTTTTTTTTTTTTTTTAACTTCTTTTTGGCCATGCCACGTGACTTGTAGGATCTTAGTGCCCTGACCAGGGAAAGAATCTGGGCTCCTGGCACTGGAAGTGTGGAGTCCTAACCACTGGACCACCAGGAAATTTTTAAGAAAATGTATTTTAAACTTTTAAAAGAAAGCATACACATTTGTCATAGTAGACTAATTATTATAAAATAAAGTTTAATTCTGCTATTTATCTCTAAAAAATTTTAATAGTCACTTATCAAGTGTTTACCATGCTTTCAGGTCAGTTCAGTCACTCAGTCATGTCTGACTCTCTGTGACCCCATGAACCACAGCACGCCAGGCTTCTCTGTCCATCACCAACTCCCTGAGTTCACCCAAACCCATCTCCATTGAGTCAGTGATCCCATCCAACCATCTCATCCTCTGTCATCCCCTTCTCTTCCTGTCTTCAATCTTTCCCAGCATCAGGGTCTTTTCAAATGAGTTAGCTCTTCGCATCAGGTGGCCAAGGTATTGGAGTTTCAGCTTCAGCATCAGTCCTTCCAATGAACACCCAGGACTGATCTCCTTTAGGATGGACTGCTTGGATCTCCTTGCAGTCCAAGGGACTCTCAAGAGTCTTCTCCAATGCCACACTTCAAAAGCATCAATTCTTCGGTGCTCAGCTTTCTATATAGTCTAACTCTCACATCGATACATAACCACTGGAAAAACCACAGCCTTGACTAGATGGACCTTTGTTGACAAAGTAATGTCTCTGCTTTTCAATATGCTGTCTAGGTTGGTTATAACTTTCCTTCCAAGGAGTAAGCATCTTTTAATTTCATGCCTGCAGTCACCATCTGCAGTGATTTTGGGGCCCAGAAAAATAAAGTCAGCCACTGTTTCCACTGTTTCCCCATCTATTTGCCATGAAGTGATGGGACCAGATGCCATGATCTTAGTTTTCTGAATGTTGAGCTTTAAGCCAACTTTTTCACTCTCCTCTTTCACTTTTATCAAGAGGCTCTTTAGTTCTTCTTCACATTCTGCCATAAGGGTGGTGTCATCTGCATATCTGAGGTTGTTGGTAATTCTCCCAGCAATCTTGATTCCAGCTTGTGCTTCATCCAGCCCAGCGTTTCTCATGATGTACTCTGCATAGAAGTTAAATAAGCAGGGTGACAATGTACAGCCTTGACGTACTCCTTTTCCTATTTGGAACCAGTCTGTTGTTCCAGGTCCAGTTCTAACTGTTGCTTCCTGACCTGCATATAGGTTTCTCAAGAGGCAGGTCAAGTGATCTGGTATTCCCATCTCTTTCAGAATTTTCCACAGTTTATTGTGATCCACACAGTCAAAGGCTTTGGCATAGTCAATAAAGCAGAAAGATGTTTTTTCTGTTTTAGGAAGTGTAATAATCTCTTCATGTTACTATATCTCATTTTAATCCTCAGATCTGCAAGGTATTATCATGTCCATTCCATGGAGACTGAAACTGAGGCCCAGAGGGTTCACTACCATGCTCTAGTCTCAGAGCTGGTGAACTTGGAGCTGAGATTCAAGCCAGGTCTGTGACTCCAAAACCTCTGCGTGTAAACTCAGCATGGCGTCACAGACACCACTCCAACCTAAAGGTGACTGTGTAAGAGAGGCGGAAGTAAAGTGAACATTAAATTTAAGAACAAGAAGTTCTTCTTTATTAGACAAGTATAATTTTCTGAAAAATCCTTACTTCCAAGAAGAGATATCTAACTAAGCATATTAAGGAAGTCTACAGTAATAAATCAGAAAAAAAGTTTTGTGAGTATGTGAAGTGAAGTGAAAGTTGCTCAGTCATGTCCAGTTCTTTGTGATGCCCTGGACTATACAGTCCATGGAATTCTCCAGGCCAGAATACTGGAGTGGATACCATTCCCTTCTTCAGGGGATCATCCCAACCCAGGAATTGAACCACGGTCTCCTGCACTGAAGACAGATTCTTTACTAGCTGAGCCACCAGAAAAGCCCTTAGTGAGTATGTAAACTATCAAATATTGCATTAAAAACTCTGAGGAAAATTTACTGTTTGGTCATTAGAATAATATTTGGACATTAACTGGTATATCTTATTGCCACACCTAAAATATGCCTTATTCTTTCAGGGACGCTAAAACTCATCCAATTTTATTTCTGACTAGATATGTTTCAGACATACAGCTCTTCCACAAAACACACATTAAATGGGTCAATTAATAAATAAGTACACCTTATTTATATTTTAATAGTTTTATTATGATGGCACTCTATTTAAAATTCTAGTCATAATTTGTAAAAGCCTATAATTCTATCCAGATTGTAATGCTGGGTGAATTGAAAATAGAACTTTAATAAAATTCATTAGCCAATATTACCTTGGGTTAAGTTTAACTGCAAATTTGTTAAGAGGTATAGTATGAGAAAACCCCTTTTGTTCCTAAATCTGTCACATATTAATAAGCTTGGGCTCTAGCAAAGGATAATGGTGCTTTGCTGTTATTTTCATCTGTATATAAATCCGCAAATCCCATACTGGCTCATGAAAATCCTCCTTTGTCAATGCCACAGAACTGTTTCTTTCCTTGGGAATGATTAGGAAAACTAGCTGTTCATGCATATTTAAAGAAAGGAAAAAGATCAGTATATTTATTTCTTTTAAAAATTAGGACCTGGATTTTGACGATGTCCAGATTTACACTATATCCCTGTTTGTTTTGGATACACCACTGACTTCGGTTTCTAGAAGACATAGATATAGTGCTTAAGCAACCAAAGGTAAGAACTCAGTGGTAATTAAAATTCTATTTTCACATATGTTTATACCTCTGTCTCGATTTATTAATGCATCAGCGTTTGCTTTGTTTTCCATGGTATATACTTTCTAGCTACAACTGATGGTTTTATTTTTGTTGATTTCTCTGTAGTTTTGACAGATAAATGAATATTCTACTAAATACAATTTAGTTAAAGATACAATTTTAGTTAAAAATAACACTAAATAAAGTCTGGCAATTGGTCCTGCTAATCTGAATATCACAGAATAGTAAATACTGCCTTTTTTGCAAGTTTCAAGTTCATTTTTTACAAATGTAAGTATAGTTGATTTACAGTATTGCCTTAGTTTCTAGTGTACAGCACAATGACTCGGTTTTATATATGAATGTATGTGTATACACATGTTACATGTACACACATATTCTTTCCAGACCCTGCTCCATTTGGGTTATTAAAAGATACTGAGTCGCATCCCCTGAGCTATATACAGCAGGTCCTTGTTGTTTACCTTCAAGTTCATTTTTAGAAGGCAAAACAACACCTTTGTTCAGATGTGTCTTTCCTCAAAGGAAGTATCATATACTAGGTTTTCTTTCTTTTTAAGATATTTGAAGGTGGAACACTGTCAAATTCATATAAATTTTAATACAAGTTCCTGAAAATATGAGCTCCAACTCATTGGAGACATTTAAGAACTTTTTAAATGTTAGTTACTTTATAAGCATTATTATAGCAACCTGCACACCTCCTTTAGAGGTAAGTGGTCTAAAGAGGTTTAATGACTCTCTCAAGGTAACATATTACTATTATGTGATGGAGCCAGAATTTAAATTATCTTGCTTTCTTTTATTTCTCCGTGACAGGCATGTATAATTTAATTAGACTTTTAAAAACTTAGCAATTATTTGATAGTTTTATTTTCCTGGCCTCCCTGGTGGCTCAGAGGTAAAGAATCTAAAGAATCTGCCTGCAAGTCAGGAGACTTGGGTTTGATCTCAGAGTCAGGAAGATGCCCTGTAGAAGGGAATGGCTACCCACTCTAGTATTCTTGCTTAGAGAATTCCATGGACAGAGAAGCCTGGAGGGGTTCAGTCCACAGGGTCACCAAGAGTCAGGAACCACTGAGTGACTGACACTTTAACTTTTTTCACTTTATTTTTATAAACTTAAAACTACTCTTTATCATGTTTATTGTGCCAAGATTACAGGATTTTAAATATTTGTGCTTTCATTCTGTATCAGAAAGTTAGACTTTATTAATCTGAGCTTTTAAAATGGTCCTACTGTTAAAGACATATCTTATAAACTAGCTTTTCACTCCTTGACCTTTTCTGTTTATATATCCCTCAGTCAATTGTTCCACTATATTCATTCTTTCACTCACTGCTCTTTCTATAAATGTTACTCACTTACAGTTTTGTTAGATGAAGCAGGCAGAAAAAAGAGAATGGGGATGGAGGTGGTAAAGCATCATGGTGTTAACTGTAAATAAAAGCCCTAATAATTATTGATTATACTTTATATTCCATAGCGCAGGGGTCCCCAGTCTCCAGGATCTAATGCTTGATGACCTGGGGTGAACCAGATGTAATAACAATAAAAATAAAGTGTACAGTAAATGTAATGCCCTTGAATCCTTACCAAACCATCCCCCTCAACCCTGGTCCTTGGGAAAATTGTCTTCCACAAAATTGGTCCCTGGTGCCAAAAAGGTTGGGGACTGCTACGTAGAGAATATACCCTCTTTCCTCTACTCTTGGAATATTGGTACATATTGATCACAAAAATAAACTCAATTAGGCAAAAAAAAAAGTATACATTCTCTGGTCACAGTCAAATAAAGTTAAAAATTAGTAAGTTTAAATTAAGGACCCTACCCCTTAGAAATGAAAAAAAAAGGGGGTGGGAAGGGGGAGAAATATCAAATAACTCTTTGAAGATAATAGCAAGACGCTATTATAGAGCTTTCTCTTTTTCATGGAGGTAATTTTTTAAGCTATGAAATTAATAATGCTAAAAACTTAAAAGTCTGGATAAAATAGATTATCTTCTATATAAACAAATGCCTAAATTTAAATTGAAGAGTAAAACTTAAATTGACTAAAATTTATGGACATGATTTTAAAAAGGGGTCCAAAACTACCTCCAAAAACGCTACAGTACCCTAGATATTTTTATTTATCATTCAATAAAGACTTATTTGGTGCCGATTATGTGCCAGTGATTGTCTTAGACAGAAACTTTGCTTTGTTTCGCACCGTGTCCCCATCAGTAGGTCGGCGGGATAAATCCACACCATGCCAGAGGCCGTCACCTGACATAAGAGTGCGTGGGAATCAGGCCATCATATTTTAAGTTTTGGCTATGGCACTAATCAAACAGCTGGAACTTTCCTACATCCCCTCAAAGGAAAAATAGCATGTGCCTTCTCATCAGCAGACAACCATTATGCCGAGATTTAGAATTATGGTAATATAGATACTCTAGAGTGTGAAGCAAGTGCTTATAATTACACATGATAGTTCTCAAATGTTACAAATGTTCCCAGTTACAAATCAGCTTAGCTCTAGCTGATGAAAGGTAACTAGTGCAATTTAACGTATATTCTTGAAAAAATAGGAAATTACTAATAAAAGAAAACTTCCTTAACACAGTAAAGAAAGTTTATCTAGAACCAGTGAGAAAAATAGGAGAAATTCTAGAGACTGAAACAGAAGCAGGATATATTATCTATTATTTAACAGTGTTCTGTAACTTCTACTCAACATAATGAAATGAGAAAAATAAACAAGATATACATTTTGAAGAGATAAAATTATTGTTAATTGTGGGTATTGCCTACCTAGAAAATGCAAATGGATCAACTTAAAACTATTAAATCTGAATTTCAATAAGTTGATAGGCTACAAAATAAATATATGAATTGACAGCTCTCCTACAAATTAGTAGTAATTAGTGAGACAATATGTTTAAAAAAATCTTATTTACAAATACAAATTTAAATACATAGAATACATTTAACTAGAAATATGCATAGCTTGTTTAATGAAAATTATAACGACTTAAAACATATATAGTAGACTTTAAAGGCTATCAATAAATGAAGAGATGTCCCTTGTTACGTAATTAAAAATTTGAATATATTAAGTATGTTGATTCTCTCAAAATTAATCCGTAAATCTAATGAAATCTCTTTTCAAAGCACATTGTTTTCTTGGGAAATGATAAAATTGTTCTAAAGGCAATTAGGACTAAGAAATGTACACATTGTACTGTTATAGTATTTAAATGTGATCATTAAAATGATGATAGAGGGTAGATGTTTAAGTTTTGAGAGTAGTGTTTGTGGAATAAAATAAATATCAAAAGTAAAGCAAAGCTTTTTTGGAAGGTTTTTATGAGCCAGGCATTATGTAAGTTTCTGGAAACATAAACATCGGAGCTCACAGGTACCTGATCTCAAGTCTGGTGGGACAGACACTGATAACTGGATCATAATACAATGATGGGCCAGGGCACTCACGGAAAGTGTCCCACATTACATGAGTGCTGAGGGGAAGCCACAAGCACCCAGGCATCCTAAGCCTAGGCATTAGAAATATTTGCTCTTTTCTTCATTCCTTACCTTCTTCAGATGCTGTTTCTTCTGCCAGGAGTACTCATTTCCACCACTACCTTAGTAAACTCCTACTCATCCTTCAAAACCCAGTCACACATTCCCTGCTTTGGAGAGCTTTTCATGAATCTCCTGACTCCACAGAGCCTTTATACACACAATACTGTCACACTGGATTTTTGTTACTTACAGGGCTCTCTTATTAACTTCTTTAGGGCTGGAAGCCTGTCTTAACATGCCATCCTTCCTCTTTTCTTCCTTGCCTTCACACTGCAGCAAGCTATATGGCACATAGCACATGCTCAACCAGTGTTGAGAAACAAAAACATTAAGTAAAGATGAGATTATGTTATCTTCAAATTGTTTAAAGTAAAATTATCAGTAGTTTTAATGTGTTCTTTTGGGTATAAGACATAGATTTATAAGAAAAGCAGGGAAAAAAATTATCTTAAATTTGAAATAGTCATTGTGACTGACAAAATTCCTATGTAATTAGAATCCAGGGGACCTCAAGTGTTGGGTTAGAAATACTTATTTGCCTCTTTGTATGTTTATTCACTATTGTTTCCATCAAATTTTGTATTTGCTTTGTCCCAAGGATTTAAAGAGCAAAGAAAGTTCTCTGCTTTTAAGAAGCTTAGAAAAGAATTGGTAAAGTGGAATAGTCATATGCAAACGTAGATGTATGTACAAGGAAGTAAATGCTTGTGGCTAACATAATGGTTTAAAATATAGTCAATGCATATAATAGATGGTAAAATTACAACAGATTTTATGGAAGATGAAACCCTAATTTAGACTTTCCCCAAAGGCTTCTCATTAGCATCCATTTTCTGAGAAATTCCATTCTCATCAGATTGCATTTCCTGAGAAACAAATATTTGAGTGAGGTACCCTAACATAAAGGTCAAGGAAACCTGCAGGTAATCATAATTTATTAATTTTTATGGTCAATTTTTAGAATTCAGAATTCTAAAAATTTGTGATTGAGTGGGGAAAAGTGGAGAGGATAATGCATTAAGGCTTCCAACCATTGCGGAAAGTCTTCATTCTTACCCTTGATTAGTGTAACACATTGATTCTAGAGAAAATTTTCTTTGATGATGTAGGGTCTTGTGATGCTCCAGGGTTTTAATATATATGACTTTATTGTTATAATCCATACTTTAAGTTTATTTGAAAAATATTCCTAGTTCTGGTCATTGGGAATGGAGTAGCAGTTTTGCTCTCAGGGCGTTTACTTTTCTGGCATTTATATCACTGTTTTCTTGTAAAATGTTTGGCTAAAAAAATGAGTCTAGAAAATATATTTGGTTATTTGATGGTTTATTAACTGCCTTTTGATTAATTGAGATTTTACTTTATGATGGCCCC